CACCTTTACCCATCCCCATTTTAGTATAAATATCCATGTTTAGATCATTGTAAAGGGTTAGCATTTTAATACTCAGAGCTTAGCAATAGATTTTACATCTTCCATCCTTGTAATCTCATATTCATCTACCGTTCGGGTAGTTCTAGTGTAATCACATATTCATTAAATACCACTAAGCTTCTGAGTTGAACAAATATCTCACTGTTTTATATTTTATACACATTTTAATCCAACCCAATATCCCTACAATATCCAAGGCTTGTGTTGGGCTTTCGGATCTTCGGGAATAAACCTCAACATTGGCGCCGTCTGTGGGAAGCCACACTAAAAGTCCAGACAAAGCCGTGATCTAAGCACCATTTTTTCTTGAAAATGGCTAGGCTTCATACCGCTACACCGAGTTCTACATCCGGAGGCCGAGGAGGCAATAGATCCTCTGAGGGGTGGTCCATGCAAGGACACGCCAGTGGCAGTGCCACCCGGGAGTTCGAGCAAATCATCCCCCGGGATGTAAGGATGAACCCTCAGTTGATGAGGGAGATGGCGGAGGCCATGCAACGCATGGCGGACGAACAGGAACAGGGCTACACCGATGAAACTCGTGAGCCACCATCCCCGTTGCGTCCCATGCCATCTTTCGACGAAGAGGAGGACATTGAGACCACGATGGCCTCAGTTCATTCCGAGGAACACCGCAGGAACCACTGGAGGGCCCATACCCCCAGACGTGAAGCACCAACCAGCCGAACCCCGTCCGCCCCTCGAAACGGATATAGGGAATCTACCCCCATGGTAGATCCCGTTGGACAACACTTCCAGTATATCCAGAGGGATGGGGAACGCTTCATCCGAAGGAGAGCTAACACAACTGCCCCTCCCCCAAAACAGAATACCGGGCTATGTGGATGCTAGGATACCACATACTCCCCGAACGGCCCAAGACGCCGAAATGGCCGAAATGAGGAGACAGATGACTGAGCTCAGAGAGCAGGTCAATCGGACGCCCCAACAAACCCCGCCAGCACGGGTTGGGATCACATCTCCCTTTACTAGGGAAATCATGAACGCCGAAATCCTGAGGGACTGCCGTCCCTCGACCGGCTTAACATACGATGGGGTGGGAGATCCCCACGTACACCTGAGGAGTTACCAGGGTGGCCTCATGCTGCTAGGGGCCACCGACGCGGCAATATGCAGGCTGTTCTTCAGCACCCTTCGGGGACCAGCCCAGGAATGGTTCGGAACATTGCAACCCGGATCGATCGGAAGCTTTGCAGAGCTATCCACCTTATTCTTGGCCCAGTTCGCCTCCAGCACAACCCCGAAGCTGCATTTCGGGTATCTGACCAGTGTGAGACAAGGACCGAAGGAATCAATTTCCGGGTTCCTCACCAGATGGAGGACTGAAACCCTGAAGGTGACCGGCATGACAGATGAAACTGCCATCCTTCTTTTTACCGATGCCCTTCAGACGGGGGATTTATACAGGGAGCTGAAGAGAAACCCGGGAACCAGCTACCCAGACATCCTGGAAAGGGCCAGGGGTCATGCGGCCTTGGAAGAAGAGATCAGGATAAGGGACCGAACGGCCCCACAGCCTCCCACTTCAAGGCTGGCAGAACGTTTGGGACCCGCACCGGCAGCAGCAGCACCTCATCGCAGGACTGCGCGCTTCACTCCCCTGGTCATGTCTATAGCCGGTGTTTTCCATTTGGAACACAACGCCATTCCTCCCCCTACTGACACAAGGCCCGTGATGGGACCTACCCCAAGCTCCTACTGCAGATACCACCAGCGGAATGGGCACCTCACGAAGGATTGTCACGCCCTACATGTGGCAATTGAGGACCTGATCCAAAAGGGCTACCTGAGGAAGTATGTCAGCACCAACCTGAACAGCCCTTCCCCCAACCAGCGCCCTCCCCGATCCAATAGCTGGAAGCGGGATGCCCAGCGGGATGCAGAACCCAGTAATGATTCTTACCTTCCCCCTATAGAGGAAGCTGAGGGGTCTGGGAATCCGGGAAAAAAGCCACGATTGGAGGTGAAAGTCATCTTTGGTGGAGGGGAGACCGGTGATACGGCCGCCGAACGTAAGAAGTTTGAACGCAGCCTCTATGTCGCCACTGTGGCTGCACCTCCCACAAAGAAGGGCCGCCTGGAGCCAATTACGTTCGGGGTGGCTGATCTACCCAACTCACCAAGTCCGCACAGGGACGAGCTAGTGGTGAGTATGTGTATAGACAACGCCTTGATTCACCGAGTTCTGGTGGACACGGGAAGTAGTGTGAACGTGCTGTATTTACGCACGTTGGAGAAGATGAAGCTGAAGAAGGACCCGCTGACCAAGCTGAAGACACCGCTGGCTAGCTTCACCGGCAATGTAATAGAGGCTGAGGGCACCATCCAGCTTCTGGTGGAAATTGGTGATGAAATTCACCGAGCGGCAGTCCGGATGACGTTTGTGGTGGTGGATATTGCATGTGCCCACAACGCCATATTGGGCCGTCCGGGGCTAGAAGATTTGGAGGCAATTGCCTCTGTTCGACACTCATGCATCAAATTCCCAACTGACACTGGTGTAGGAGTGGCTCGAACAGATCCTGCCATAGCCCGAACGTGCTACCGGGAAGCTTTGAAACAAATGACCACCCGGGGACAGCGGGTAAACAGCATTGAGGTACAGGCCCGGCGTACGGAGTTCGAGGGACGCCCCGAGCCAGCCACCCTCCTAGAATACATCGAGCTTGATTCCCCTCCCGATCGTAAGATTGCGATCGGGGTGGACCTTGAAGGGGAAATCAGGGAGGGAGTGATCGCTGTCCTGAAGAGATTCCAGGTCCTATTTGCCCGAGGGCCCGAAGACATGCCGGGGATTGATCCGGCCCTTATATGCCACAAGTTGGCCGTTCGGCCTGATGCCAGGCCAGTCCAACAAAAGAAAAGATATCAGGCGGCCGAACGGCGGGAATTCACAAAGCAGGAGGTAGCCACCTTACTAAGAATCAGGCACATTAGACCAGTCATCCATGTCGAATGGTTGGCTAATGTGGTCCTTGCTCCAAAAGGATCTACTTGGAGAATGTGCGTGGACTACTCCGATCTAAACAAAGCCTGCCCCATGGACCCCTATCCTGTCCCACGAATAGACCTGCTGGTGGACGAAACAGCAGGATGTGAACTACTGAGCTTTATGGATGCCTTCCGAGGTTATCACCAAGTCTTCATGCACCCGGATGACGCGGAGAAAACGGCGTTCGTCACCTCGGACGGTGTGTTCTGCTACATCGTCATGCCGTTCGGGTTGAAAAATGCCATGGCTACCTTCCAGAGAATGATCGGCATGCTTTTCAAAGAGGTGCTAGGGGTAACCATGGAAGCATATGTGGATGACATCCTAATCAAGAGCAGGAAGAAGGAGGATCATGTCCGGGACATGGAAAAGGTCTTCGGGATCATGCAGAAGGCCAACATGAGACTGAATCCAAAAAAGTGCGCCTTCGCAATCAAGGGGGGCAAATTTTTGGGTTACATGATGAGCGAGCAGGGGATTGAGCCTAATCCTGAGAAAGTAAAGGCAATCATGGACATGGAGGCACCGCGGAACTTGAAAGAAGTTCAGAAGTTGACCGGAAGATTAGCGGCTTTGAGCCGATTTATGGCTAAACTGGCCGATCGTGCCATTCCATTTTTCCAAATAATGAAGAAGGCCAACCCGTTCGAATGGACGGCAGAATGTCAGGCAGCTTTTGAAGAGTTCAAATTGTACCTGTCTTCCCCCCTGGTCTTAACTAAAGCAGACCCAGGGGAACATCTCTATATGTATCTGGTTGTGGCTGATCTGGCGGTCAGCTCTGTCTTATTAAAGGAAGATGAGGGTGTTCAGCGCCCTATTTACTTTGTGAGCAAAGCCCTGAACGGGCCAGAAACCAGGTACACCTTAATGGAAAAAACCATCTTAGCATTGATTGCTACCATCAAGCGACTGGCACCCTATTTCCAGGCACACCCAGTCACCATCTACACTACCCAGCCCCTGACCACCATACTGAGAAATCCTATGGCAAGTGGGCGTATCACCAAGTGGTCCCTCCTGATCGGGCAGTATGAAATAGACTTCAAACCTCGCCCCACGATCAAGGGACAGGCTTTGGCTGACTTCATTGCCGAATGCACTGCCAGATCAACTGAAGAAGGGGCGGACGGAGAAGTACATGACCATTGGTGGGAAATGTATGTGGATGGAGCATCCAGTAACAAAGGCTGTGGTGGGGGTGCTGTAATCACATGCCCCGAGGGGTTCAAGGCATACTACTCCGTACAGTTTGACTTCAAGGTAACCAATAATGAGGCCGAGTATGAAGCCCTTATTGCTGGATTAAAGTATGCCAAGGCCCTGGGGGCCAGCAGATTAAAGGTCCGTTCGGATAGTCAACTGGTGGTAAGCCAGATTAATGGATCTGCCGAAGTTAGGGAAGAACGGCTAAAAGCCTACAAGGAACTGGTTGAGGAAGAAATCGGCAGGTTCGAACAGGTGGTGGTTGACCAGATTCCCAGAATCGAAAACAGTGAGGCGGACATCCTATCCAAACTGGAATGTGCCGTTCGGGATGATCATGCCCCAGGCATCCCTGCACACATCCAGAGGTTCGCGCAGAAAGAAATACTGACCACACCGGCAACAATGGTTGTGCGGGTAGATGCTGTGTCCTATGCCGTCCCAAGCTGGGTCACTGACTTGACAAATTACCTGAAGGATGGGACTTTGCCGAACGATAAAAATGACGTGTACAAACTCACTTGTATACAGCGAAGGGCCCCCATGTTCGAACTAGTGGACGGACAGCTGTACAAAAAGACGTTCGGGGGGGCATATCTGAAATGCCTTCCCCCCGTTCAGGCGGCAGCTGTGATGGAAGAAATTCATGAAGGCATCTGCTCCAGCCATCAGGGACCAAAGACCCTGGCCAGGAAAATCATCCTGCAGGGGTACTATTGGCCAACGATTCAACAGGATTGTTTCGAACACACAAGGAAGTGCAAGGTATGCCAGCTTTACGCACCAGTACCCGGGCGGCCTGCAACTTTTTACACCCCGATGACCATATCGTTACCATTCGCTAGGTGGGGGATTGACTTGCTAGGGCCCCTACCTAATGCGTCCGGAGCAAGGAAGTACATCATAGTGGGGATTGATTACTTCACCAAATGGGTGGAAGCCGAACCCCTGGCCAGTATCACGGATTTTCAATGTCAACGTTTTGTTTGGCAAAATATTATATGCAGATTCGGGCTGCCTGAGCAGGTCATCACGGATAATGGACGGCAGTTTGTGAGCAAGAACTTCGAGGAATTCCTCACCAGATGGGGAATCAGGCATTCAAGAGCTTCCGTAGCATACCCACAGGCGAACGGGCAGGTAGAGAACATGAACAGAACCATCATGGATGGTATAAAAAAGAAACTCGAAGATTACACGTCAACCTGGCCCGAGCAGTTAAACTACGTCTTGTGGACGTACAGGACAACCCCCCGAACAGCAACCGGGGAGACACCGTTCGCCCTCGCTTATGGATTTCAGGCTAAGGTCCCAACTGGGGTCTTGGTGCCCACTCACAGAACCATCCACTATGATCCTGAGCAGAATGAGGACAACCTGCGTGCTGAACTCCATTTCATAGAGGAAAGAAGGGATCTCTCAGCTTTACGAATGGAAGAATATCACCAGGCGACTAAGAGGTATGTGGATAAACAGGCTAAAATCTGTTCGATTGAAGTCGGAGACCTTGTCCTGAGAAATAGAGAGAAAAGCAAACCGCTAGAGGGCGGGAAGATGTCAAAGAATTGGGAGGGACCATACCGGGTCTGGAAAAAATACCGGATGGGGACCTTTTCCCTACAGGATACAGAAGGCTGTCCGGCAGGGATATGGAACGCTACGCACTTGCGGAAATTTTATCAATAAAAACGGCTGTTGCCACCTCTGGAAAAAAAAAAAAAAAAAAAGAAAAAGAAAAAAAAAAGAAAAAGAAAAAAAAAAGAGAAGAGAGGGAGAACAATGCTTCCAAAGAGGCCAGAGTTAAGAGAAATATTGCGAGCCGAACGGCATCAACAAGCCGAACGGCATCACCACAAACTCGGCCAAAAGTCTCACCCTGATCCATAGATGTCATTCATCTCGATCCACGGGGAGCCATCATCTCAGCACAAAAAAAAAAAAAAAAAATACTCAGCTTGGGAGATGGTGTAAAAGATCTTGAGTAGGACGAACCGGGCGGCATCCGAAGTCATAGGGTGACCGAGCGGGGGATCGGGACTCTGGTCTTAAAATCTTGCCTTGGCCATACAGCTCGCCCGAACCTTATGGTGGTGGAACCCGAGCTGTATCCTGGAGGCGAGTCTCCATTTTGGCAGAGAATAAGGGGGAGACCCGAATTGGGAGCCTTATTCTCAACGGTCCAGGATGGACATCTCAACCTCATGATATGGATGACCCCGGACGGTAAAACCGACGGTATGCATCGAAATTATGGGCTTGGAAGATGGCAGACACTACACGAATTGTGAAACTGTCTTGCAGCAAGAGGTGATTGCCTTGCGGATAAGGAAAAACGCAGATGATAACCCGAACGGGTTACTTTAGCCTTCAGGGAACAACCAGTCGACGGTAATAAACCGGACGGCATGCATCTGAAACATGGTGCTCGGGGGCGCAGCAAGCATTTAACATTGATGACTTGCGCGTTCAGGGAACAACCAGTCGACGGTAATAAACCGGACGGCATGCATCTGAAACATGGTGCTCGGGGGCGCAGCAAGCATTTAACATTGATGACTTGCGCGTTCAGGGAACAACCAGTCCACGGTAATAAACCGGACGGCATGCATCTGAAACATGGTGCTTGGGGGTACAGCAGGCGTTAAACATTATGTCTTGCGCATTCAGGAAACAAAGAACAACCGACGGAAAGCAATCGAACAGCTTGCACCTCAACTTTGGTGTTAGGGACGGGCCGAACAGCTTACATCTCAATCATGATGCTGACTTGTAAAAAAAAAAAAATTAGTGTTCGGGAAGCCAGTCATTCGGAAATAGATCAATCTTTATTCTTCGGCACTACTGGCCGGGAATAATACATAAGAAAAAGAAAAGGGGATTACAATAAAGAGAGCTAAGCTACGGAGGATCCTTATTCGGCACAGCATCGGAGTTTGGGGGGTTGGCTGAATCTTTAGCCTTGTGCCTCTTCTCCATCACCCGTTGATAAGCACGGCAGAATAAGGGATCAAAACCTTCCTCCTTGGGGTCGAAGGGTTCATCAAACGATTCCTTGATCACCTCCAGATTCCGATCGACCAGCATATCCTGGCACTTAACAAGGGTGTCCTTTGCTAGAGCATTGGCGAAGGCTGTCCCGGACGGGGTCTCATCAAGAAGCTTGAGGCCATCATGTAATGGGTCCTTACTTCTCTCTAGGAATTCGCCCAGATGCTTGCCGAGGAACTCCCGAACAGTATTTTCTAGGGCGAGGTTCAGGCCTTTCCCCCTTTGGAAGTCAATCACCGCCTTCGTGGTGATTTTGGAAACATCGGCGGTATAGGGGGCAGGGGGATTATCCCCCTTGGCTTTCTCAATTTTCAGGCCAGCAGCTTCGGCAACCTTCACCTTGGCACGCAGATCACGGATTTCCCGATCGCGTCGTTGGAGCCTCTGCTCCAGTTCGGCCAGCTCCTCCCTGGCTTTGTCACCCTTGTTGGCTCGATCTTGGAGATCTGCAGCCATCTTCCTAGCAGCAGCCAAAAGGGTTTGGCTCTCGTCCAGCTCCTGATGAAGGAGGGTCATCTCCCGTTCAGCTGCTAGGAAGGCCCGGTGATAGTATGTACCGGCCTGTGGAAAAAGGAACAGCAGTAAGAACAAGTCCAAAAAAAAAAAAAAATGTTATGAGGAGGAAGAACTGAACAGTCAAAGGATACCTTAAGGGACTCAGCGTGGCCTGCTTCAAATAGGTCGGACCAGTGAGTCAGGTTGGTGAAACCCTCACCAGCCTTTAGAGAGGTACTGCACCACACGGATGATGCAGTCTGCCCGAACAGCGTCCGGCATTCGGCTCGGGGGCCCATGGCAGAAAACTCCACCGTCAACCGATCAGGGATCGGGAGACTATCTGAAGCAACACCTCCCCTGTTGCCCAGCTTCGTTGAAGGGGAGGGGACCGGAGGCATCCTTTCCACAGAAGGGTCCGTCAGATCAATGACCTGATCGATCGGGACCAATGCGCTGCTGCTCTCAATTCTTGGCCGCTTGCTAACAGGCCCAGATTCCCGGGCAGCAAAAGAACCGGACTGAATAGCCTTCTCCTTTCCCTTGCTGACTATGGCGGTGGAGGAAGGAGTAGGAGCAGGACGCTTTATGGAAACGGGGGGAATCACGCCTACAAGAAAGAACGAAGAAAAATGAACAAGATGTTGATAAATATACCGAATGAACAAAATAATGGAAGAATCTTACCGATGCCAGCAGCTAGCATTTTAGCGGGAGTCAAGAAGGACCGTAAGTTCTTGGAACCGGCCAGACGAAGTCTTTCATACTGGCAGAGAATAGCTGCATCCACCCTTGGGGAGGCATCCTGAACGGGGTAGGTGTTCCACCGATCAGGGAAAGGAAGCGGCGACCCCACATGAACGAACAAAAATCGTTCCTCCCATTTCTCTGGCGGGGTGGGGTTGTCGGTAAAGAGCGAACGGCCAGGGCGGGCGACAAGCCGCAGGTACCCGGTGGTCCAATAAGGCTGGACGCCGTAGCAGTGCAAAAAGAGGTCGGCGCTAGGAGCAATTCCCAACTCATGGCACCAAACGATAAAACCGTTCAGGATCCTATAAGTGCTAGGCACGAACTGTGCTGGCAGTACTGAGACCCGGCGGAGGAACTCCACAATGAAAGGGTGCAACGGGAACCGCAGACCAGCAACCAAGGCATCCATGTGCACCAACACACATCCCGGACGGTGTCGCATGGGATGTTTGATGAACCCCGCATTGAACTGACGAGGTGGGGGGTAGTAATTGGCGGAGCGTCTGTTCTGCATCAGCAGGGAGGCGTTGACGTTGCTTCCTGATGCAATGGAAGTTCAGATTATAACGGGGGGGCCGTTCAGGCATGCCCTTATTGTAGATGGCTAGGTCATCTCCCGACTGACATCCATCATCAGGGAGGGGCTGTTCGGGATGAAGTGAGGCAGAAGACCCGTTAGAACCCGACGATCGGGTAGATGTACCTTGATCTTTGGGGTGAGCTTTTCCCCTTGAAAGACGAATCAAAGTGGGTGCCATATCTTCGGAATCTGACGAACCAGAAAAGGCAGACATAGAACAACGGAGAAAATTCTAGAGAGAGAAAGCTTGAAAGAATTCAGAAGCAGCAGAAAAAACTGAAACAAAGTAGCTGCATCCTTATATAAGGAAATACAACCGCCAGGAATTCGAATGAATAATAGACACGTGTCAAGGCGGCTGAGAGAAGTTAAAGCATCCTTTGGGGTGGGTGAACACCCGAACGGGGTTGAAATCAGCAAAATTCACGAACCTCTAAAGGCGTCTCCCCAGACGGGATAAAAGAAAAGGGCTACAAGCGTTTCCCCGAACAGGAAGGAAATTTATAACGGTGGTAAAATGAGGGGCGTACCCGAACAGTATGGTTATCTAACATGGAAGAATATGACAGATGCAACAAAGAGAGCAAAAATACATCCCGAATACCGGACACAATTTCCAGCTAGAATGAGAGCTTACGAACGAATGAAAAGGGCACAAGGGTCTTATATTAAGATCATAAGAACAGACTGAACGGGTTCATTATACACAACATGTGTTAACAAGATTATCAAGTCCTGAATTCTGGATTTAACAAGGAGTTCACCCGAACAGGTGACCTGATCGCTTCAGATTATGGAGATCACCCGAACAAAGCAACATGAAACGTATTGCGGAGGCGAATTGATAGGTGAAAAACAAATACAAAGTACAGTAAAAGTCACAAAGACGAAATGAGCAAGCAAAAGTTGTATATTCATCGGCTCTACTGGCCGGAAAGTACAAAAAACTACTGATTCAAAGGAAAGGTAATACAGATAATGTCTAATCTATTGTTCGGGATGATCTTCATCGCCTTCATCATCGTCTTCATCAGCCTCATCTACAATCTGCACGACCTCCATCCCCAGGGCTCGCCGGCACTTTTTCATCTGTGCCATCAGGGCGTTCAGATGACCCGGATGGAGGTCAGAGGGAAAGTCGGAGGATTGCACTGATCGGCCCATATGCTTTTCTAGGAGGGGGAGGAGAGGCTGGAGCATATGTTGGCAGCCTGAACTATAGATCCCCCGGGCAAGGATATCAGCCCACTCCTTGGTGACAGGATGCTGATCAAGCACCCTGATCCCCTCCTTCTGGCGCTCCTCTCCGGCCACTTTCTCCAAATGCCTCCCGAAGACAGCGGGGAGCTGTTCGGTGGCATACTTCTCCTTCAGAGCCAGAAACTCCTCGGAAGCCTTGAAGGAATCCCGAACGGCGAAAAGATCAACTGTCATTTCGGCCGGTCCGTCCGGGATCTGAGGAGGAGCCTCAGAAAATTTGATCTGAGCGGCCTCAGCTGCTGCAATCTTGGCTTGGAGAGCGCCCACTTTAACACGGAGCTCCCCTGCCTCGGCTTCTAGCTTCTTCCGCTCCTCAGCAAAAGCCCGCCGTTCGGCCTCTGCTGCCTGTTCGGCCGTTTCCTTGGCCATCAGCAAGCCTTGTTCCTTGGCCTGCCTGGTCTCCTTGAGCTTCAGGCTGTATATCCCTGCCTAATGGTCGAAAAGAAAAGTATGAGCGCAAGATAAGCTGACAAAACAAAGAAAAAGGTAAAAGTAAATTATGAACAAGAAGCTACCTTCAGGACAGTCAGGGCAATGCACTCCTCGATTTCCTCCACCGGTATTGGGGGAAGGTTGTGTCCATTAAGGAAACCAGAGGTGGACCAGATCTGGCTCGCTGGACAGCCACCCCTCTCCAGCATTTCATGAGCAGGATCATAGAGGGAGATCCGCTCGAACTGACTAGCCAGGTCAGCCTCATGGGCAGCCACCTCCTCAGCAGAGAAATGGTGGGACTGCTGGTCAGAAAAAAGCTGATCCATCAGCGTGTCAGCGTGAGTGTGCTGCTCAGGGGCAACCTGCTGCACAGGTTCTACATCCCGAACAGGTTCAGACTGCTCGGGGACGGGAGGGACGGATTGAGAGGAGGCGCCCTGATCGGCCTTCCTCAACCTTTTTCTTTTTGTCTTCCTCTGCTGCTTGGGAGGAGAAGGTGGCTCGTCATCAAGTCCAGCAGTGAACAGCCTACTATCATCCATGGCCGGTTGTTCGGGATTGGCTCCTTCGGAATCTGAAGATTCGCCTTGCTTTGGAGCTGAAAAGACAAAAGGAACAAATTAGTACCGAGCGGTTCACACGTGGATTAAAAAATTATATCACACGGGAAGGACCGCCCGGGCCATGGTACTTGGTTTTCAGTCAAGTAAGTCCAGGAATACGGGCAGTACCTATCCCGGCCTTAATTAGCCGTTCGGGAGTCAGGTAAGACATAATTTTGAAGCAGCCTCCTGCCTCCACAGCAATGACATCTCTGCTAAGCTCTTCGGAGATGAATGGCTCGGGGGATTTAGGAGGGAATGTGTTCCATTTCCTAGGAATCAAACCGTTCGGGACAGAGACAAAGAAGAACCTATCTTTCCAACCTTTGATGGAAGAAGGGGCATCGCAGAACAAAATGTGTCCTGGTCGGGAGCTTACCACCAGAAAACCGTGGGACTGCTGGGGGATAACCGGAAAAAAATAGTGGAAGAGTTCTAGGGTGGGTGTGACCTTGACACTGTGGCAACGACAAATGAAACCAGCTATCGACCGGTAGGAGTTCGGCATCATTTGGGCTGGTACTACATTGTAAAAATTTAAAAGGGAGACAAAAAAGGGGTGAAGTGGGAATCTAAGACCGGCCCTAATTGAGTCAAAGTGGACCACTACCATCCCAGGGAAATGACGCATTGGGTGAAGCCCGGCCTGGAGTCGGAAATCCACCGAGTCCGGGATCATCATCTGGATTTGGGCCCTATTTTGGGCCGTAAGTTTTTGACGCATCAGCCTAATTAGGGCTAGGTCAAGCTTATGGCAAGAAACGCCGCTAGGGGGACCGGCTTCCATGGCCTCCATTTCATCCCCGGATTTGGTACCATCGGGATAAGTTCCGGATGAAGAGGCATCGTCGTGGGGGACCTCCGCCGGGATAGGAGTAACCTCCAGTGTCAGGCTAGGAGTATTCTCAGGGAGATCAACGTTTGAGGTAGAACACTCGGAGGAACGAAGACAGGTTGCCATACCGATCGAACAAGGAGGATAGAAGAAAAACACAAGGCCAGAAAATACCTGAGCAAGAACTAAGGAATAGCTCTTTCAAGGATGAATTATAAGCCGGAGGTGCGAAGTTTCGAAACCCAGAATCAAAACCAGAAGAGCCCATTTATACTCTGTCACGCCGATTCAGCTGCCAATCAGAAGAGGACACGTTTTTTGTAATGATGACAGAGACACGTGTCGCACAGAGAATCCTTCTCAAGTAATCATGACGTTTATCGGAGAAGCGAAACGGCAGTTGCAAATAACCGTCAGAACATGCCTCGGGAACCGGCGGAAGGCCATCCGATACTCACCCGAACAGCATTCGGGCAATAATCTTCTACTTCCTTATGCGCTCACTACCGTTCGAGACATAGGAAGTGGGGGACTAGTGTTGGGATATTGGGTCCAGGCCCAATATCCCTAGGCCCAAATCCGGGAAGAAGCAGCAAGCCCAAAGAACTCCCGAACAGCATTCGGGATAAAACTTATACTTGAAACATTCTGGGTAACGATTATGCCAGGGTATCAAGGCCCAAATATCGATCGGCGTTCGGGATACTTGAGGTTGAATTATCACCTATGGCGGGGTCCCACACACCGAACACCTTGCCCGAACGGGCAATCAGCAAGTGGAGGCCGCATTTAATGCTGGATCATGGCGGCAGCAAGTGGGGGCATGGGTGCTTACATGGCAGAGGTGATAGCCTACCAGATTCGACCACGTGTCCACCTTTACCCATCCCCATTTTAGTATAAATATCCATGTTTAGATCATTGTAAAGGGTTAGCATTTTAATACTCAGAGCTTAGCAATAGATTTTACATCTTCCATCCTTGTAATCTCATATTCATCTACCGTTCGGGTAGTTCTAGTGTAATCACATATTCATTAAATACCACTAAGCTTCTGAGTTGAACAAATATCTCACTGTTTTATATTTTATACACATTTTAATCCAACCCAATATCCCTACAATATCCAAGGCTTGTGTTGGGCTTTCGGATCTTCGAGAATAAACCTCAACACCATCACTAGAGCTTCGCTCCGCATCATTTAATTTGGGACATTTTTATCCCTAATAAATAATAGTGATGTACGGGTAGTAATAATAGTATTATCCTACCATAGGCCATTCAGCTATGCTCCGATCGCTAATTAAGGCTGATCAAGAGCGGGCCGACGGGCCCATAACAACCAATCGTTAGTTAAAATGATGGAGAAAATTAATTATCGCTTCGAGCTTGGCCTGACATTATTTAATTTTGGGAAACTTTACTCCCTAATAAATAATGGTGATAAAAAGCTGATAGCAGTAATATTATTGTAAACTAGTCATTTGGTAAATGAGAAGTATATGTGATACTTAGCTCTTCTGAAGTGCAAGCCTTAGTAAGATTAATATCCCCACTTCATGAGGTAAGACTGGGGCCAGGTCTGCCATGCCAAAAGTATCTTTGGTGTAGAAGTTCGGCCAGTATGTCAAATTGATTTGGTTTCCTTGGAATTTTGACTTGGTCAAAATGCTCCAACTTGACCATCTGCCATCCTTCACCCTCCTCACGTGCCATCCTTCACCCTCCTCGAGTGATATGCAGCACTCCGTAACTTCTGGACAGAGGGCGGTACGGCGGTTTTCGCGGCACAAGGGAAATGACGGAGGCCGGTCTTGGTGGGGTCCGGCGGGGCTTGAAAAATGTACCTCCCTTGAGCTCCAAGCCGCCATTAATGGCGGAAATCGTGGAGCTCTCAAATGGCAGATCCCTTGGTCGCCTCAGCAGGCTCGAGGAAGCTCGAGCGGTGTTCACCAGGTGGAGGGTTGGCGAGCGGTTGCTGGTTGACGTCAAGCGGCGGACAGGCGATTGAGACGGTGGAAGCAGCTGTGCGTGACGAGCACCTGTGTCGCAGGTGTTACGAGATTTGGGGTGCTGAAGCGAGCTTCGTCTGATGCCGGCTGACACCGCGGAGGCTTCCTGCCGGCGGGGACGGTGGTGGCGGCTCCGGCGACTTCAAACAGATCTGGAAACAGAAATCCAGATTTGGCTTCCCAATTTCCGCAGCTCCTTCGTTTCTTCCTCCCTCTGAGTCATTTCTTTTTCTTCCCAGATCTAGACTTCTCAGAATCCATTTTTCTTCTTTTTTTTTTCCCACTGGAATCAGTCCATTTTCGAATGCATTTTTCTTGTAGAAACTCAAGAATGGTAGAACAAATGAATCTTTTTGGACAGATTCCCACAGACGGCGCCAGTGTTGAGTTTAATCCGACACGATATAGTAAATATATGTATGAACACTCAGTTTTTACGTGGAAACCCGAAAGGGAGAAAACCACGGGACTTTTTAGGCTAATGTCCAAGCCCTCTCATTCTCATTAGGACTCTCCTCACCATTACATTGTACAATTTGAACTCCCATTAATGGAGTATTGTAAACTAGCTAGAGAGAGGGAAGAAGAATCAGCTAAGGAAAGAGGATCCTTTACATGGAGGCTAAGCTCCATATTTATAGGAAATAAGGGGAAAGGGGGCTCTCCACCCTAACGGGCCGCATCGACCGGAATGGGCCCAAATGGCTAAAGTGGGCCAGAATGGGCCGAAACGGGCCTAGCTGCTTGGGCTCCGTACTGGATAATGTCTTCGGCTCCTGAACAGTAATAGGCCGGGATAATATATCCCAACAATACCAGTTTGATATAGTTTATTTTTTTTTGTTTTTGTTTTCTAATTACTATTTTTCTAATCAACAAAAATATATTGGTAAAAAACGAAAAAACCGAAACCGAACCGAAATAAACCGAACCGAACAAACCATGGTTCCGAATTTTTGAACATAAAACCGAACCGAACTTTTAACTTTGGTTCCACATTTGGTTTTAGGTGAAAACCGAACCGTTTGAACCGAACTCACCCCTACTTGTCCTGTCTGGTCCGTTCACAGCCAAACAGTCCCGATCCGGTCTAGTTAATGACCCAGTGGTCCATGTCCGGTCTAGTCAATGACCTGACATTTCCTTTCCGATCCTTCAATGACCCGACGATCCCTATTTGTATGATTGACGATTGGGCTATCCGATCAATGACCCGACGGTCCCCATCTGATCCAATCAATGACCCGGCTTTCCTATCTGGTTTGGCCAATGACCAGACGGTCCCTTCCATCTGATCTGATCAACGACTCGGCAGTCCCAATCCGATCAACAACTTCACAATCCTCGTCTGGTCCAGTCGACGACCGCGCAGTTTGGTTTCCATTTTAAATCATTTTTCAAAGTGAAGAATTTCAAAATAATCGGTATTTGCCAATCAATAGGGAAATGTGAAAAGAATTAGTCAAACTAGTCATTGGGACCAACCGGGACCATCCGGTTTTTGTCTCAATTTTACTAGGATAGTAGGATCTATTATTGATTCGACAATGATGATCAATTAATAACAAATTTTAAACAAAGAGCCCGTTTGGTAGTTTACACATTAAAACTTACATGCAAAGTGATTGCATGTAAAGTTTAGGGTCGTAAAATAGTTTACATGTAAAATAAAAATACATCGTTTGGTCACGTGTGTGATCTATTTTTAAAATAGACGTGACTGTTTACATCCTAACGCCCAGCTCTTCTGTTACGCCCTCTTGCCGAAGGATCTCCACACCTTCATGAATTGGAGCGGCACTCATGAGGTCCACACTTGGAATTTCTTCCAGCCTGAATCCTTGAAACAACTGGAAGCTGTTGTGAAGGATTTTGTATGTTTAAAGGATATACTGCTAAATGATATACTGGGAAATAATATTGCTCAAGAAGGTGGGAATATCTATGGAATCAAGTGAGCAACGTTTGATGTTCGAAAAGGATTACTGACTTCTTTAGCAGAGGTTTTACATGTTCTCTACTTAAATTGGAAAAGAACACCAAAGTAGAGGTTTTAATTCGGATTCACATACTACGTAGGAGGACTGGTGGAGAAAACCCACGCAAAACAACCGGTTGGATGGAGCCTTCAAGCTGCTAGGTTGGAATCGCAATTCAATATAGCGTATACGAAGTATTTATTTTGCCTCATATTAACGGGTGTAAAGTAGTTTACTACCCTCCCCCACGTAAAATATTTTACATGGTACAGTGTAAAATGTTGATAAAAAAGTGTCCTACAGTTTACATTAAATAGTTAAAACAAACGGTATAAAATGTTTACTTCCTTACACTTTGCATGCAAAGTGTTTACTTTACATCATAACAAATGAGCCCAAAAATGAAAGGGATACTTGACATGTTCGTGTTTTTCAGAGTTTATATTAATCGGATAGTAAAAAAACTACTCCGTAGATTGATATAGTACTAGCTTGTGCATAAGCATAGGGACCACTACAGATAAATGACTTATGGCAACACAAATTTGAAGTGTTGCTTCACAAATGTAAACGGGGCTAACACAACATTAGTTTAGAAATGTTGCAATAGATATGTTTATAAGTGTTAAAAATACTCGAATGCAACATTTGTTTGATCAGTGTTGCGATTGGTGTATTTCTAAGTGTTATATATACTCTAATGCAACGTTTTTTCAAACAACGTTGCTCTATCATATACAATCGTACTATCTTAAATAAAAAGGCTTATCGCAATTTATTTTCTGATTATCAGCTTTATTGGTTATACTCCATATAATTTTTTAATATATTTTTTTCTTTATTTTATAAATGAAATATATTTGAAATTAAATTTTTGTCTAAAATTCAGCCAATTCAGTCGATTTAGCAAGAATCATTTAATAAATTTCAGCAGATTCAATCAATTTGAGAATTATTAGATGGACTATCATTACACGTTGCTTGCTATTTTTCGGCTATCATAGTCATAATGAAAAGGTTACAAATATATAAGTTTCTGGAATGTTCAAAAAATACTGAGTTGTCTTGATGCAAAATTTAAATCATTTATTGCATATTACTGATGACCAAAGACTTAGTATGCTAATTTTAAGAAAACATTTAAAATCTATTGTGCTCCTTATGCTAATTTTTTTTTCAATTATGTGCACAGTAGAAAAGGTAATAAATACCTCTGTGGCTCTGTCGCACTAAGATTGGGACAAGAGAAGGTGACACGATTATCAAGAAAATTAGGTTTGTGTGGTTGATATTAAATTGATAAAGTAAAAATAAAGTTAGAATGATTTAGAGCGATACAATCTTTACCAAATATGGTATGAGACAATCGTAGTGGTATTTCCCGAAAAGGTAAAATGGGACAATCTTAACGGGACAGGGAGAGTACTATTTAATTGTTAGATCTTCGAAAAACATATATCCAAGCTAATATTAAATTAGTTACATCAACCTTATAATATTACAGAAACGGCACCATTCAGGTTCCCAAAAACCTTTTTTTGTAACAAGGAGGCTTAAATTGATAATACGGAGTAAAACATTCGGCAAGGGATACAAACGATAAAGGAAACACTTCCAGCCACCGACCCTCGGACCAGCTGGAGAACCAATCAACCTGGATAGAGCAATATGATTCGCTTGTCCTGTAATGGGTCTAAATGAGTCAAACGTGGCCAGATCGAGCAAAACCTTCATCATTCCCACCTAATGTAAGAGTCTGGATGAAATAGAAATAGCGGAAGACAATGATGACAGTGTTCATGCCTAAGAAATTCAAGAACAATAAAACAAAATTTAATAAAATAAACTGACATAGCAACTGAAACCATGCTTCAAGCAACATCCTCGGCGGTGGCTCAGGAGGGGGACGGATCATCTAACCCTTCATCTTGAACCATGACCTCATCAATGGATTCCCCATCAAGAACTAGCTCTTCCTCTTGCTCTCCAAAGGCCATCTCTTGATATTTGTTTGTAATGTCCTCCATCTCCCTCTTGATCAAATTCCAACCGATGTGCAGGTGTTCGATGTCCACGCTCGCGAAGCACAGCAACCTGTGATCTCTTCCGCGAAGCCCACGAAAGCGAAACAAAAGAAAACCTGCAAAGGATTAAAACCAAAACGCACAACTGGAGCCAAGGGGATTGTTGAGACGAAGCCCCCTAAGCCGGAAAGCGTCGAAGCCGCACCCCTGCCGCTAAAATCAGACCCCCTTTCGTCTCTCCGCCGAGCTTGTAATCCGAAATTGAATCCTGAAAATCACCAGTGGGAGATAATCGATCCACGCACTGGGAAGAACCTCCGGACTGAGCGACCGAAACGCCGCCGCCGGTAGAAACTCGCTAGGCAGAAAACCTAGAGACGACCGCTTCTTTCTATTTGGCTTTTAGAACCTTGCCATATGGTTCCCAAAAACCTAATTAAATTACAATTTCTATAAGTAAATGTAAAAATAATTAATCTGCGTACGTGCTGCCCGCCTAACAAATTAGAACCTCTTTGGTGACTCTGTTTTTCGGCTTATCAGCTTATCAGCCAATTTTTTAATCAAAGGCATAACTTTTTTATTTAGTGCGCTGAATTGTGTAATAATAAGAAAAAGTAAGGTTGGAGTTACTTTTCTGAATGCATTGGCTGAAGGTATTGTACATGACCATTTTAGTCATTTTTCATATAATTTTTTCTTTATTTTATAAAAAGTATAATATAAAGATAATTTTTTCATAAATCAGCAGAATCAGCCGATTTAGCTGATTTCGGTGTTAGCAAACGGGATCTCATAAATAACATGTTAGACCAAAAAAGTGAATTGATCTATGTCCTCACAGTTAAATCTTTATAATCTCCTTATACAACTGATATGGGCTCTTGCAACTATTTTAAAACATAAAAAACATGTTATTACTCATTTTCATTTATCCCAGTGCCGCAAAACTTCTCCCACCTACGGTGGGGTAAGGGGGGTCGGATGTACGCAGTCTTATCTATGTATTAAAGCACAGAGAGCCTGTTTCCGGATGACCCATAGTGAAAATCGTGTCCAAAATTGAATGGAGTGACTGCTACTTCATAACAAAGATATGCAGACAGTTTAGTGAGTCATTTTGTTTTATTCCATCATATTCTCAAGCCAAAAAACAATGAATCTTTGGCTCCATTGCAAATGATGGAAAAAAAACATGTTACTACTAAAAAAAATTAAATTATGTAATAACGGAAATTGAAAAGTTTAAATTTTTTAATAGACGTGTGTTAAGATGACAGTTATAGCCTAATTATGTGGACATGTTAAAGAGGCATTATGGGGGCGTGGGGTGAGCAGAAGTGCAGGAACGAAATGATGAGAAAATTGAGACAATAAATTCTATATGAAAAAATGGATTACATAATTAGACAGTTTATTAAGCACTCACTCCATCTAGCGATTTCCTAGGTTCTTAAATAGTTTATTAGATAAAGATCACGAAAGTGTTCACCCCCAACCGTGTAATTAATTCTAAAGTTACAGAAATAATTTTATGCTATAGACCTATTTAACCCATGCATATTTTCTTCTCTTAGAGCATCACCAA